ATGTATGACTATATGTGTTTGTGTGTGACTGTATATGCTTGTGTATGCCTTTATATGTGTATGCCTGTATATGCTTGTCAAGATATGCAGAATAAATAATGGTTCAGTCACTCCAGGATAACAGAAATAGCAGCTTTATTGGGGCAAAAGCAGCAACGTTTCGACCCCACCGGTTCTTTATCAAGCAAAGTTGCTGAACTGAAACCAGTTTTATGGTTTGGCTATTTTTACCTTAAATTTTAAATTCACTTTGAATTCAGTCTTCAATGGATGTATTTCAGCCATGTTTCCAGTTCAGCCACTCTTGTCTTAAGTTTGAGATTCACTTTAATTCTCACTTTAGTAAATAACCCTGTTACCCATGATCATTTAGTATCATTGCAATTTCAGAAATTTTGGAGTACCCAAAAAATGTTCTCAAAGATTGCACTTGCGGTGGGATTTCTATACAGGTAGATAAGAATGAATACAGTATGCTCTTAATTACTTTTAAAAGCTGGGTGTTTCGTTTACTCTTATGTGACAGCGATAAAGCTTTGCCCATTGGGTAAACACTATAAGTATATAAAGTCTAAATAACTAAGCTGACTTTATCTGACCTGCCAAGTTTAGTAATGACGTGTTTTCTAATGAATTCAACAAATAAAATATTAACTAATACTTTTGCTATCAGCTATAATTTGTACACATCTATCTAATTCCTTAAATTAAGTTCATATTTCTTTTTTTTTTTTGTAAATCTGTTTTTATTGAAAAGTTTTTCATACAGTCGATACATCCGGCAAGAAGATTTGCATTTTGGGACACACAGGTCTCCTTCATATAATCAGTTTGAGAATAATATCCACATTGTTTTAAGGTTTTTGACTGGTGCGAGGATCAGAGCTGTGAGTTGATCCCCTGAGTCTTTTGGCTTAGTAACAGAGCCTTTTCCATGCCCTCAGTCCGTACTCCTCCAAGGGGTACAGAGCATCCATCTACGAGTCTCGTGATCATTCTCAATTTGTGATCCTTCTCAATTTGTTGGTTATGCTTTAGGCTCGGAGCCTGCGTTGCTTATGCCTAGCGTTTTGTCGTCCCCGTTAATTTATTATGTTCCGTTTCGGTGCGTGTTCCCTTTTATTTGGTCTAATGGGGAAGCGGCTGTTGCCTTTGTTTTGAGAATTGTGTAAGTGGTGTCTAGGGTGGTTAAAAGTGGTGTTTCAGGGCTCGTAGGTATCTTCCCTTCTGTGTTCTACAGTCGGTGTTAAGTTCATATTTCTATAACTTGAAGTCAATATCACATTACTTCATGAAAAGTTACATTTAGCATTATTATTTTTTTTGTTATAAAGTTGTGATATAATCTGACGTTCCGTACAATATATAAATGACACAAACAAGCGAACAATGACGAATTTAGGCAAACTGATAGGAAGTTCTGCTCAAACATACATAGAAACATAGAATATGACGGCAGATAAAAACCCTTTGGCCCATCTAGTCTGCCAAATTTTCTAAATACTTTCATTAGTCCCTAGCCTTATCTTAAATTTAGCCTGAACATATGTCCCAGGCTCAAAAACAAGCTCTAGTTCTAACCTAGCTGGGCATAACCTAAATTCTATTATTATTTTTATTATTATTATTATACTTGTAAGAAGAATATTGTATATGATTGTTTTAAACAGACTGAACTTATTAAAGGGACACTACAAGCACCATAACAACTTAAAGAACCACTCCACACCCCAAAAGAATTTCAGCTTGCTGAAGTGCTTTATGTGTGAGAAGTATCCAATTTAATCTCAGTTTATAAAAGTGCTGGTTTCTATCAGAAATTGTCACTTTTATAAATTAACTAGAAAATCCCCACAAAGGTCAATCAAACAGCCCGGGAGGTTTGCAGCCTTCTTTTGCTACCTCCCCTGAACTTACAGAAGTGGTAGGCACGCTTGTAGAGTGTGCCTGCCTCCTTCCACATAGACTTTAGTCAATTCATCCAGACCTCAGACCAGACCACAAGACAAAATGTCCTTAAGAGAACTGCCTACCACAAAGCCGAGGATGCAGCAGCACCTCTGTTTGAGTGGGCTCCAAAAGAGGAATCAATTCCTGCCAAAGTGAGCAACCATCTAATTCAGCACGCTATTGTAGGGCAGGAAACTGGGCTTTGAAGACTGACATATGGCATAAAAAGGGGGCCCAAAAGAGCACAAAGATGGGTTATAGACATAATGTATTGGCGAACACAACGAGCCACACAGAGAGAAGGTCTGTCTGGAAAATATAGATGGATGTTTGCTTACAGAGGAATTGAGCCATGTGCCACTGGAACAGCAGACCCAAGAATATGATACAGACGGATAGAATTTGCCTTGGAAGATAAGTTTAAAACATGTGTGAGAAAGGCTAAAAGAAGATCAATATCCTTTCCCACATATGCGCTAACACAGCGGTTCCCAAAGTGTGGGTCGCGACCCACTGGTGGGTCGCAGGGCGATTCCCAGTGGGCCGCGCTGACCCATACATCCAGGGGACTCGGGCAAGCAGACTGACACCATGAGGGGGCCCGGCGGCTTGCCCTGTATGCCGCCGTGCTCCCTCCAATCAGTCTGCCCAGCAGCTCCGGTCTGCAGCTCCGCCGGGTGCAGAGCTGCAGACCATGTGATAGAAGTCTCGCGAGCTCTCAGAGCATTACCATGGCAACACTCTGGGAGCTCGCAAGACTTTTATTACACTGTCTGCAGCTCTGCACCCGCCGGAGCTGCGGACCAGAGAGTTACCCACCGGACCACCAGGACCACCGGACCACCAGGGAGACACTGGACCACCAGGGAATTCAGGGACATCCCCCTCCCCCCATGTAACGCCTTCACCCCCTGCCCCCCATGTAACCTCTTCACCCCCTGCCCTCCCCATGTAACCCCTTCAATCCCTGCCCTCCCCACACTGTAACATCTTCACTCCCTGCCCTCCCCACAATGTAACCCCTTCACTCCCGTCCCCCCTCCCCACACTGTAACCCATTCACTCCCCACTGTAGCCTTTTCTCCGCCTGCCCACCCCTTCTCCCCCTGCCCGCCCACCCCTTCTCCCCCTGCCTGCCTACTATAACCCTTTCTCACTTTGCCCTCACACTGCCCCCTAACTGTTACCAGCACACACACTCCCTCCCACACTGTCACCCTCACCTCTCCCACACACTGTCACCCTCACCTCCTGTCTCTGCGTGTATGTGTATCTGAGTGTCCTTTTGTGTCAGTGTGTGTGTATTTGTGTGTCTGTGTGTATTGTGTGTATCTGTGTACATGAGTGTTTGTTTATCTATGTGTGGGAAACTAGGTGTCATTGTGTGTATTGCTGTGTCATGGTATATATTTGTGTGTCTGTGTATGTCTCTGTATGTGTGTGTATATGTGTATACACTTCACACATACTCCATATAAAAAAATATGCTTACATTCAAACACACATTGTGTATATGTATATTTTATAAACACAATACACACACTGCTTCCACTACACACACACACACACACACACACACACGCACACACACACACTGCATCCACTACACATGTATTGCAAACGCAAACATTACATGCAAACACACCCCGGCATTAAAACACTAAAATTATCTACAAACACCCCTTCGTTCAAACACCAACACTCAAAAAGAACACCTGCATTTCAAGTCCGACACTACATACAAACACCCATGCAGTCAGATGCAAACATTACAAACAAGTACACCACTACATTCCAATGGCAACAGTACATACAAATACACCCATACATGCACACATATACTTAATACAAAAACATGCTTACATTCAAATGCTCAAACACTGCTCACAAATATAACCCTGCAATGATAAGAAAATGGTAGATCCCCATCTGGTATAGCATTATTGAAGTTCTCTGACAGATGGAGATCTACCTTTTGGCCACACTTGCACTAGAGGGGGGCCCAGAAAACATATTTGCACCAGGGCACTCTCTACATTAGTTCCACCACTGGCATAATCAATGTGAGGTGTCTGGATGAAAGAGCAGGACACAGCACTTCTGATTCTGAGTCTGTGAGTAAGCAGTTGTATGTCTCTAAAACTGATTGCCATGATGTGCAAAGTTTCTGCCTCTAAAACTGCCATGTTATGCCAATTTCATGCATCTAAAACTGATTGCCATGGTGTGCCAATTTTATGCTTTTAAAACTGATTGCCATGGTGTGCCAATTTTATACATCTGACTGTTTGCCATGGTATGCCAATTGTATGCATCTAAAGCTTATTGCCATGCTGTGCCAAGTTTATGTATTTAAAGCTGCCATGATGTTCCAATTTTATGCCTCTAAAACTGATTGCCACGATGTTCTGAATTTAAGCTGGTTGCCATGGTGTGCCAGTTGTAAGCCTCTAAAACTGATTGCTGTGGTGTGCCAATTGTATGCACCTAAAGTTGCCATGATGTGCCAAGTTTATACATCTAAACCGATTCTACAACTGATTGCCATGAAGTACCAATTTTATGCATCTAAAGCTGATTGCCATGGTATGCCAATTGTATGCATCTAAAGCGGATTGCTAAAGTGTGCCAATTTTATGCATCTAAAGCTGACATAATGTTCCAATTGTATGCCCCAAAGCTGATTGCTATAGTGTGCCAATTGTATGCCTGTAAAGCTGATTGCCACGGTGTGACAATTGTATGCATCTAAAGCGGATAGTGTTCCAATTGTATGCCTCTAAAGCGGTTTGCCACGGTGTGCCAGTTTTATGCCTCTGAAAGTAATTGTCATGGTTTGCCAACTGTGTGCATCTAAAGCGGATTGCTATGGTGTGCCAATTGTGTGCCTCCAAAGCTGATTGCCCTGGTGTTCACTTTTTAAAATATGCATTATAAGCAAGTGGGTCTCGAAAAAATACCGTTTTGAAAAGTGGGTCTTGGCCCATAAAAGTTTGGGAAGCCCTGCGCTAACCCATTAATCTCAGTTTTTTAATGAGAAATTGGTACTTTTATAAATTAACTAAGAACCCCTCCAACTGTCAAACAGCCAGGGCGGTTTGCAGCCTTCTTCTGTTAGCAATGGTGAGGGTGCATGCACGAGCTGGTGCGCGCCTGCACGTGGGCACCATTTAGGGATTATTCTAGCTTAGTGACTAAATATTTTACATTTCATGAAAGATAGGCGGCAACTATTTGCTTTATCCTTCTTTACTGAACCTCCCAGAAGCAAAAACAGTTAAACAATGTGGATTAAAAAAAAATCAACCAATCAGAATGCATAACCAAGAACATATAGTGTAGCGAGACTCCTCACAACTCCTCTTTCTTGATGCAGCCGATCGTAAGTAGAACCATTCATGTAAACAGGAACAGAGCAAACTAAAAGGAACAGAAGATAATGTAGACAATTTTAGCTGAATAGTAAACCAAGTAAACCAAAAACAATATAGATGTAGATCTTCACACTAGAAATAAATAGAAAACATTGTGAAGATGTGGTCCTTTGGACAATAAAATCATCACAGGATAAAGATTTAAGATAATGTAACCACGACAGAGCTAACTATAACTTCTGCTGAAAATACATGGACTAACTCAGGGCCGAACTGGGAAAAAAAATTAGGCCCGGGCATTTTTCAATCAGAGCGGCCCCCAAGAAGGGGGCGGGCCAGAGAGTGTGTGTTTTTTCATCACTAATGACAACACGCCCCCTCTCAAAGTGAGCATGTTGGTTCAATGCCCAGAGCCCTGCTGAAGAGCTCTGGCATTAGAAAAAGGCCCTGAATTTGTTCTGCGCAGCGCAAGCAAATTTAATAACATGCTTGCACTGTGTTTGCTTTTAAATTGTCTCTGGTGTCTCCACAACTGGGATACCAGAGGACAGAAGGGCCAGGAAAGTGCATGGTGCATATGTTTGGAGTCTGCTTGTGGGATTGCGTGTGTGTGTAGAGTGTGGTGTGGTATTGTATAAATAGGTCAATTTAATTTGTGTTTGTGGTGTAATATGTGTGGCTAGGGGCTGTAGATAGTGTGTGTGTATAGGGGGCATAGTTTTATAGGGGATGCAGCGAGTGTGTGCATACGGGCTGAAGTGTGTGTGTATAGGTGACGTAGTGTGTGTAGGGGTTGCAGAGAGGGTGTGTTTAGAGAATGTTGTATGTGTTTGCTGACAAGGAATGTAGTGTGTGTGTGTGTGTGTAGGAGATCTACTGTGTAAAGGACCCAGTGTGTGTGTGTGTGTGTGTGTGTGTGTGTGTAGAGGATTAAAATTGCATATAGGGTAAGGGATCTAGTGTGTATCTGGAGCGTAATGTGTGTAGTGGTGCAGTGTGAGGGGTGCTGTAGTGTGTGTGTGTATGTATATATATATATATTTGGACTTATTGTATGTCTGAGGGGCGCAGTGTGTGTATGTAAGAGGGGTGCTGTGTGTGAGGATGTTTTTATCTGCTGTCACATTCTAGGTTTCTAATTTTCTTTGTCAACTCACTGAGGGTTATTTTATATATATATGTGTGTGCTGTATATGTGTGGGAGTGTGCTGTGTGTGGGAGTGTGCTGTGTGTGGGAGTGTGCTGTGTGTGGGAGTGTGCTGTGTGTGTGGGAGTGTGCTGTGTGTGTGGGAGTGTGCTGTGTGTGTCTGAGGGGTGCGCTGTGTGTGTCTGAGGGGTGCGCTGTGTGTGTCTGAGGGGTGCGCTGTGTGTGTCTGAGGGGTGCGTTGTGTGTGTCTGAGGGGTGCGTTGTGTGTGTCTGAGGGGTGCGTTGTGTGTGTCTGGGTTCTGTGTGTGTCTGGGTTCGCTGTGTGTGTCTGGGTGCGCTGTGTGTGTCTGGGGGGTGCTGTGTGTGTCTGGGGGGTGCTGTGTGTGTCTGGTGGTGCTGTGTGTGTGAGTGAATGTATTTTTTATTTAAATTTAAATATATTTTTTTTACTAATAAAAAAAAAAAAAAGTTATTTCCTCCCTCCCTTCTTACCTTTATCCTGAGGGGGGGGGAGATCCGTTCTGCCTGGGAGGGGGGGAAGCCGTGTTGCCGTGGAGGGGGGCTGTGCTGCCATCCTTCCCTGGTGGTCCAGTGGTGAGAGTGAACTCTAACCTGCGGGTTAGAGTTCACTCTCGCGAGATCTGAGCGTTGCCGCGGCAACGCTCAGAATCCCGCGAGAGGACCGGCGGAGCTGCTTGTTAGAGCTCCGCTGGGTCCTCTCTCCTGCCTCCCTCCCTCCCCAGCCTGCGGCCGCATCTCCCTGTCTGTGGGCCGGTGAGGGAGATCTTTGATCTCCCGACCGGCCCACAGAGGCACACAGCAGGGCCGGCGAGCGGATAGCGCTGGCCCTGCAGGGGCCGGCCGGGGAGATCCCCTGCCGGCCTCGGCCCCACGGCCATCGCGGCCCACCGGGCATTTGCCCGATATGCCCGATGGCCAGTCCGGGCCTGGACTAACTTGCAGACCGTATAGTCTAGACCAGGGGTTCACAATTAATTTTTCCCATGGAACTCTTTGACATAATGCGCTAACAACGTGGAACCCACATTTTTTTTTGCCGCCGTAGCACAGATAGTAGACCGATAGTAGTACTTATGAGCAGGTGTGCTTTTGTGTGTACAATTGGTGTTTGTATATAATGTTAGCGTTTTGATATAGGGGTGTGTTTGTATGTAATGTTTGCATTTGCGTGCAGGGATGTGCTTGATTGTAGTGTTAGCTTTTAAATGCGGATGTACATTTGTGTGTAGTATTAGTGTTTGAGTGAAGGGTGTGTTTGAGTGTTTGTATATAAATTTGAATCCAGGGGTTTTTGTACGTAATGTTTGTGTTTGTAGGAGTGTGTTTGCATGTTGTGTTGGTGTTTGAGTGCTGGGATGTATGCTTGCTGTACGTACAGGGCCGCCATCAGGGCATGACAACCGCAACGGTTGTCATGGGCCCGGCGGTCCTGGGGGGCCCGGACTGCTCAGGTCGTCCGGGCCCCACATTCAGTGGGTACATACCGGGTCACAGGGGGTCCTGCGACCCGGTATGTACCCACAGGGCCAGCCTCTTCTCCTGGGGGCCCCCAGAGGCTGGCCCTGCAGACACCCGGCGGGCGGGCGGGCTCGCGAGGGAGCACTCTCTGTGTGCTTCCTCTTCAGCTCCCTCGCGCACCGTACTGATGCCGGAGCCGGAAGATGTACACGGCGCGCGAGGGAGCTGAAGGGGAAGCACACAGAGAGTGCTCCCTCGCGCGCCCGCCTGCCCGCCGGGTGTCGGGGGAGAATAAATGGGAGGGGGTGGAGGAATGAAATGGGAATGGGGGGGAATAAAATGGAGGGGGGAAATGAAATGGGAGGAGGGGGAGAGAATAAATGGGAGGGGGGAAATGAAATTGAGGGGGGTGGAGGAAATGAAATGGGAGGGGGGGGGGAAGGAATGAAAGAGAGGGGGAGGAAATATGAGGGGGGAATGAATGAAATTTGAGGGGGGGACAGGAATGAAAATTGAGGGGGAGGGGGGGGAGAGGAAGGAAATTTGAGGAAGGGAGAGAGGAAGGAAATTTGAGGATGGGGAGAGGAAGGAAATTTGAGGGACGGGGGAGAGGAAGGAAATTTGAGGGACGGGGAGAGGAAAATTTGAGGGACGGGGGAGAGGAAGGAAATTTGAGTGACGGGGGAGAGGAAGGAAATTGGAGGGGAGAGGAAGGAAATTGGAGAGGGAGGGGGAGAAGAAGGAAATTGGAGGGAGAGGGGGGGCGGGGGAGAGACCGACATTCATCACACACAATGCACCCCTTGCACACAGAAAAACACACAATGCATTACACACAGACACACGTACACAAGCAATGCATCCCTTACACACAGCAACACACAATGCACCCCTTACACACACTCAATGCATCCCTTACAGACACATACACTGCATCCCATACATACACAAACTCATCTTGCAGCCCTTACACATACAAACACAGATTCACACAATGCATTCCTTACACACATCAGGACATCCCCCCACACACACTCCACTCCCTGTGAACAAACTCATTGGTGGAACATGAAGGTGGACCCTGGGACCCAGACCTTGAGCTGTGTAAAGGGCCCTCAAAAAAATGGAGCTGCTTCCCGTTCTCCCAGAACAGTGATTTTTGTGACCACAGTTACAAACCGCCTCCAGAGAGCCTGTTGTACACCAGACCAGTGGAGCCAGACGGCAGCTAGAGCCCATCATCATCCTCATCTGGTTGTAAGTAGGCAATCTAGTATATTATTCGTGGCACTAATCTCTAATTTACCTCACATTAAAGGGACACTATAGTCCCCAGAACCACTGCAGCTTAATGTAGTGGTTCTGGTGTCTAGCCTGTCCCTGCAGGCCTTTTAATGTAAACACGGCAGCACTGCAGCACTGGTGTTAGTTAACATGGCAGATCATATGGGTGGGGCATTGTGATGTCACATGGGGGGGCGGCAAACTTTACTTTTGCCTAGGGCGGCAAAAATCCTTGCACCGGCCCTGCAGACACTGCATCCCTGTGGGCAGATTCGGGGGGGGGGGGGCAGCACTTTGGGCGGACTCGGGTGCAGGCACCGGGGGGCCCAAACCTTGAGCTGTGTCAGGGGCCCCAACATTTCTGATGGCAGCCCTGTGTACGTATGCCACGTATGCCACGTATGCCACGTACGTACATACATACGTACACAAAGAAACTAACACACATTGACACATACACAAACCTTGACACACAGATACACTGACACACACTCAGACTCACATACTCTTTCACAGACACACATACACTGTCACTGAAAAGCAGGCATACACTCTCACTGACAAGCACACACACATATGCACACTGACAAACACACATACACTCACAGATAGGATAAGATATTAGATTGATTCTAATGGTTTTCCAGGAGTAATTTAGGATATATATTTGTACAATAAAAACTGATAAAAAACTCATAGAAAAGCAATGCTTATATGCATTAAGATTCCCAATTATAGCACATGTGTTCGCCTTTTTCACCAAAAATTTTAAAAGTACTGGTTGATAAAATAAAATAAAAAAATTCAGTGTTAAATGAAAATGTTTCTTTAAAGTCCACAATATTTGCAACTTGTATAGTCTTTGTTGGATACAATTGCATAAATAGTTTGTATCAATGTTAGCCAATAGCATTTATCTTCAATTACTGTATTAACTGGGGTATATCTGCTAAACAAGCAATTTTGATATAGTACAGAAAAACAATAGTTTTCTTCTTCAAATGGTGGATATATGTAATTCTGTACACTGCTTGCATCTGCAATATGCTTAAAGATCATATACAGGGATCTCAAGTGTTAAATTATGTCTTCGATCTATGGGAAGATAAAACAGAAACCCATAGTGTTTAGTGTATAAGTAAACTTTTATTATAACATAAATAATATTAAAATCGCACTTACAGTCTGTGCCAAGTGGTTATGGAAAAGCTGTTGGTAATAAGGGGTAGCGAGGCACGGGTCCTTCAGTTTCGGCCGGTAGATGGAGAGATACTGCTTGGAGCTGCGTGTGTTCCACTGATCACCCTTCTGTGCGTTCCAATTGCCAACTCGGTTACGGTTTGCGTTAAGTGCCGGAAACAATAGTCCTTACGCGTTTCGTGAGATGAGGCTCACTTCATCAGAGGATCGTTCAGTTGCCACAACTCTGACCATTTTTCTGGTTTACCTAAATAATTTGCCATTTGGCTTATCCCTCCTGGAACATCAACCCTGTTACATATCTTAGTATCATCAGCAAAAAGACATACCTTACCATCAAGACCTTCTGCAATATCACTAATAAAAATATTAAAGAGAATTGGTCTAAGTACAGATCCCTGAGGTACCCCACTGGTGACAAGCCCAAGCTTCGAATATACTCCATTGACTACAATCCTCTGTTGCCTGTCACTCAGCCACTGCCTTACCAATTCAACAATATAAGATAAGCCTTCTATGTGCAACAGTGTCAAAAGCCTTACTGAAATCTAGGCAAGCAATGTCTACTGCACCACCCTGATCTATTATTTTAGTTACCCAATCAAAAAAATCAATAAGATTAGTTTGGCATGATCTCCCTGAAGTAAACCCACGTTGTCTCTGATCTTGAAATCCATGTGCTTTTAGATGTTCAACAATCCTATCCTTTAACATGGTTTCCATTACTTTCCTCACTACTGAAGTAAGGCTTACTGGCCTATAGTTGCCCGACTCCTCCCTACTACCTTTCTTGTGAATGGGCACAACATTCGCTAACTTCCAATCTTCTGGGACTACTCTTGTTAACAATGATTGGTTTAATAAATCGGTTAATGATTTTGCTAGTACATCACTAAGCTCTTTTAATAACTTTGTATTCCATCAGGTCCCATTGACTTATTTGTCTTTACTTTTGACAGTTGAAATAGAACCTCTTCCTCTGTAAACTCACATGTAATAAATTACTCATTTGTCCTTTTCCTAACTGAGGCCACTTTCCTTCATTTTCCTTCATCTGTAAATACTGAACAACAATATTCATTGAGGCAGTCAGCTAGACCTTAATCCTCTTCTACATACATTCTTTCTTTTGTTTTTACCCTAAGTAATCCTTGTTTTACTATCCTTTTCTCATTTATGTATCTAAAAAATGTTTTGACCCCTTTTTTACTGACTGTGCTATTTTTTCTTCTGTGTGTGATTTGGAAGCTCTTATAACTTGCTTAGCCTCTTTTTGCCTTATCTTATAGAACATTCTGTCTTCCTCACTCTGTTTTTTTTTATAATTACTAAATGCTAACTTTTTGTTTTTAACTATTTTGGCCACATCTGCAGAGTACCACAGTGGTTTCTTGGATTTTTTGCTTTTACTGACAAGCAGTGCAACTTTTAAATAACCCCATTTCTCTTGAACTCCATTTAAATTGCTCCAGTCTGATAATGACTCCTTTACACATATTCTAATTTTAGAAAAGTCTGGGTTTTTTTTTTTTTTTGCATTGTACAAACTTTATTGGTCAAACACCTGAATTCCAAGTTCTTGCAACACTGTCCTAGTGTCTGGTTATCTGTGCTCAGTTTTAAACAAACAAAGGAAGGAATTTAGTTAATTTTTCAAGATGTAAGGACAGTCAATGCATGTGTATTGTGTAGCAACAGAAATAAAGCTAGGGAAATGTAACATTAACTGACCTTACCTCAGTTTACCCCCTAGCTTTTTTCCCTTTCTTTTTGTAATCGCAGAGTAAATTTGGAATGAATATTTTGCCTACCCCTGATCTATAGCTTAGCTGCATCCTTTCCACATCTCAATGACTGTTGAAGTGGGCCATTATCTACCCAAACAAACAGTCAAATATGTAGTGATCACTGCATCACAAAGATAAAAATCTTTTACATGTCAGCTTGTTTTTTGTTTTATTTCTGTAACAGGATCAATTTTGCCCAGCTTACTCACAAAATGTTAGAAACAACAGCCAGACTTGCCAGAAGGGGCAACACGGAGCTACTGAATTTACGGGGAGTATAGTGGACCCAACAACGAAAATAATTCAGTCACCCAAAATGCTCCCCCCTTGAGAGGCTAAACACTAACATGTTGTCTTTGGAGATTTAAGAGCTACTAAATATCAATGTTCTACCCATGGTACTAGTCATTACATCACAAACTTGAAACATTACATTGTCTTTAGTTTTAAGTTTGACATGTCAATGTCACAAGCTACAAAATTCCAGAAGCATTAACACTGAACAGCCACATTTAAAATGGCACTTTATTTAAAAAAAATTAGACTCCAGATCAGAAGGTTCAGCAATAGAAAAGGCCCATTGCAAGTGAACATCAAGTCTAATACTCTTCACCTTCATCCTCTGCATCAGCACTATCTGCACCAACTTCCTCATAATCCTTCTCCAGGACAGCCATGTCTTCACGGGCCTCAGAGAACTCTCCCTCCTCCATATCCTCACCAACACACCAGTGCACGAAGGCACGTTTAGCATACATAAGATCAAATTTGTGGTCCAGGCGGGCCCAGGCCTCAGCAATTGCAGTGGTGTTGCTCAGCATACACACAGCACGCTGTACCTTGGCCAGGTCACCACCTGGAACCACAGTTGGGGGTTGGTAGTTAATGCCAACCTTGAAACCAGTGGGACACGGGTCTACAAACTGGATGCTACGCTTTGTCTTGATGGTGGCAATAGCTGCTTTAACATCTTTGGGCACAACATCACCACGATACAACAGGCAGCAAGCCATGTATTTACCGTGACGTGGATCACATTTTACCATCTTAGTAGCTGGCTCAAAGCATGCATTTGTAATATCAGCCACAGTCAGCTGCTCATGGTAAGCTTTCTCTGCAGAAATAACAGGGGCATAAGTGCCAGAGGGAAATGAATACGAGGATAGGGCACCAAGTTGGTTTGGAATTTAGTAAGATCAACATTCAGGGCACCATCAAATCTGAGAGAGGCTGTAATAGAGGACACTATCTGACTGATAAGGCGATTGAGATTGGTATATGTGGGACGCTCAATATCTAGGTTTCTGCTGCAAATGTCATAGATAGCCTCATTGTCCACCATGAAGGCGCAATCTGAATGCTCCAAGGTGGTGTGAGTGGTCAGGATGGAATTGTAGGGTTCAAACACAGTTGTAGAGACTTGAGGTGCTGGATAAATGGCAAATTCAAGTTTGGACTTCTTCCCATAATCAACAGAGATGTGAAACCAGAACCTGTACCGCCACCAAAACTGTGAAACACCAGAAAACCCTGAAGACCCGTGCACTGGTCAGCCAATTTACGGATCCTATCCAATACCAAGTCGATGATCTCTTTGCCGATTGTGTAGTGCCCACGAGCATAGTTGTTGGCTGCATCTTCTTTGCCAGTGAATAATTGTTCTGGGTGGAAAAGCTGACGGTATGTGCCAGTACGTACCTCAATGACTGTTGGTTCCAGATCTACAAACACAGCCCTGGGGACATGTTTTCCAGCTCCAGTCTCACTGAAGAAGGTGTTGAAGGAATCATCCCCTCCTCCAATGGTCTTGTCACTGGGCATCTGCCCATCAGGCTGAATGCCATGTTCCAGGCAGTACAGCTCCCAGCAGGCATTACCAATCTGGACACCAGCCTGACCAACGTGGATAGAGATGCACTCACGCATTATTGTCTGATTGTACGACTTCACAGCAGAAACAAGGAGGGGAAAAAAAATGAAGAGTGACCGGAGTTTGTGAAACAGGCAAGCCCTGGCTTCTCACTGACTGACAGCAAGGAGTCTCGGTAAGATCTGCCCACGAAAAGTCTGTTTTTTTAAAGTCTAAAACTTTTGTTTTTGTGTTAAACCACACTGACTGATGATCACTGGATCCTAAACTTTCACCTACAGTAATATCTGATACCAAATCTCCATTTGTTAACACTAAATCTAGTATGGCCTCTTTACGAGTTGGCTCCTCAATGACTTGTTTTAGAGACAATCCCAGTAGGGAGTTTAGAATATGTATGCTCCTGGCACAAGCAGCTAATTTTGTTTTCCAATTCACATCAGGAAGATTAAAGTCACCCATGATGATAACTTCCCCCATCATTTTATCTATTTCCTCAACTAGTAGATTATCCAACTCTTCTATTTGTCCTGGTGGTCTATAAATCACACCTACACGAGTTACTGTGTGATTACCAAATTCTAACGTAACCCAAATGGACTCTGTGTTCGCCTCACTAACTTTTATTAGGCTAGATTTTATGCTATCGTTCACATACAGGGCCACCCCTCCCCTTTCTTGCCTTCCCTGTCTTTTCTATATAAAGAGTACCCTGGTATTGCTATGTCCCAGTCATTTTTCTCATTATACCATGTCTCAGTAACAGCGACTAAATCTACATTATCAGTTGCCATTCTTGCCACACGTTCATGGATCTTATTCCCTAAACTGCGATCATTTGTAGACATGACTCTAAGCTTATCATCTTTTAACACACTTCCTACATGCAACTTCTGTCCTTGTTTTGGGGGGCAATTGGATTAATGTTTTATCACCCTTTTGTCCCCCCCTCCTAGTTTAAATACATCTTAGCAAAACCTCTGAACTGCTCACTGAGAACATTTGTTCCCTTTTGAATAAGATGCAAGCCATCTTTTTTGTACAGTTTATTTCCATTCCAAACAGAGCTACCATGAGAAATAAAGCCAAATCCTTGCTCCCGACACCATTCACCAAGCCACAAGTTAAAGTGCCTAATACACATCGGCGTGTCGTTCTGAGTGTTATGCACAAGCAGAACTTCAGAGAATGACAGTGTGGAAGCAACCTGCCGTATATCATTGGCAAAAACACTAAAAACTTCCTTAACCTCTGAAACCTCTGAACACGCAAGGATCTAGTTGCCAATTGCTGAAATCCCTCCAATGATGGGAAACCCGTCTGCAACGAGATTGTCTAGGCCTGGAATGTATTCCGTCTGAAGGGAGAGATTCCTGGTTAGACAGAACTGATATAGGTCTTTCATGAGATCTGAAAGCAGTTTCGATTCAGATGATTCACATAGTGGACTGCAGAGACGTTGTCCACCCACAGCACCAAGGAGCAATTGTAAACGTCCTTTGCGAAACTGCGGTCGCCAAAGGAGCCCGCAATCAGCTCTAGACAATTAATATGTAGGGCATGTGCTGATGGGGAACAAGGACCTCCAGTCGGAAGCCCATCTGAGAAGGTTGGTGTCTGACTCCAGAACAAAGTCCAGTGGAGAACCGAATATGGCCTTCCCGTTCCTGGCATCCATATTGTAAAGCCACCAATGCAACTCTAGACGAACCTTGTCCATCAGTGAGATCAGTTGGTCATAAAACGTGAACTGATACAGATAATATATTTTCAAGCGTTACACTGCTCTATAGTGCAATGGTCCCAGAAAGATGGCCTGTATTCAGGCAGAGAGAAGACTGATCATATGCAGTTAGGTGTGTTTGGAAGATAGCAATTTTCAATGTAATTTTTGATGGCCTTGATCTTGGACAATGGAAATTGTAGAATCGCCTGTACTGAGTCTATTTGAAAACCGAGAAACTGGACCATCTGCGAGGGCTTGAGAGCCAATTTCTGAAAATTGATAACAAACCTATTGATAACACTGCAGCAGTCATGCCTGCATGACGATGAAGGGAGGGTACCTGTGTCTTGAGCCATTAACACTATGTTGTCCAAGTATATAATGGACCAAATCCCCTGTAAGCGAAGTGACGCCACGAGCGGTTTCATCAACTTGGTGAAACACCAAGGGGCAGAACAAAGTCCTAAAGGGAGGCAGGTAAATTGTCAAATGTGTCACCATCTGGATAGAAGGAAATAGTGGTGAGTTTGCTCGACCGGTGTGGGGATGTACACGTTAAATGGCCTGTAATAAGTACATTCAAATTAGGACGGTTGATTACCTGAAGCGAAAAAACTTGCACTGGGAGAATTGGGCTTTTTTGAGAGATGTGAATACAAAAACATGTTAAGATTTCACATAAAACTGTCCCCAAAAAGTAGGCCATTTGCTTCTGGTCCGAGTTCTTTGGTACTTAAAATGGCCAGTTTAGTCTGAAGTTGTAAAACTAAGGATAGCATAAATTTTGTAAACATCGACTTTACGCCTCTCCGTTGAGATGGAAAAGTTGGAGGGATAGCACCATGTGCTGATCAAATTCACCACTAGCCAAGGCCTCATCTGCCAAAATAAAGATATGATTAAGGGGTCTTGCAATATACAAGAGTTTTTTCTTGGGCCGCTTTTACACCCTGTGTAAGGCCCTTTACTAAGAAAGGTGACCAGTAGTGGATCGAATTCGGTAGTGAGCACCCCTTTGTCCGGGATGGTAGCCGGAGGCATTCAGCTCTTAATTTAGTCCGAATCTCTTTCGCTAAGGGCTAAAATATTGCAATAATTGTCAATGTGATCTGGGAGGGCCCATTCGGCAGAGTGAGGGTGCCGTATTATTCTAGGGTCGAATATGGGAAGACCAGAAGTATCCAGGAGGCTGTCAGTTGACTGGTCTTGTGCTCTGACCTTACTTAAGTCCAAAGAAGACTGTTTTATAACAAATGACTCTTTAACAAATTCGCATGAAGAGGAGTGTTGATGCGTATTCGCCTGGAGATCCTCATCCGAATAAACAGCACAATGATCATCCAGAACCTGAAGGTCATGTGAGAAGTAGAGCTCTCGAAAGGGTCTAAGTACTGAGCAATTTAGATGGCTGAGACAATTTTAAAGTCTTGGCAGGTGCTTTGCCTTGTCCAGCTGAAGCACTATCCCCTTTTCAGGGGTGTTTGCTCGTGGCTCCATTGTGATTTGACAGATGGGAATCTTGAGAATCTTGGTGCACAGCAGAGAGTGCTGGTTAAACAGCTGCTAGAGCTTTTGAAATGAAGTCCGCTATAGCGAAATTGATCCAAGCTCTTAGCTCAGCTGACATTGCAGGGTCTGGCTGATCAGACATTTTATTATAAAGCAGTATTATCAAAGCAAAAACATGGGAAACTATATACAGATTATGTACAAAAGCATTGTATTTCTGATCCTAACTCAAAGGCATGAAATTTAACGACCAAACTTGTTTGGGGGTCACCCAAAGACATATGAGATTCACCCAGTAATATCATAAAACAAGTTGAGGGATCACCCAAAGCATGTGGGGGTTAGCTACAATGTAAGCAAGCAAGTGAGGGTCACCCACAATTTATATGTAAATAAAGTGGGTGTCACCGACTAAAATATATATATATATATATATATATATATATATATAAACAAGTGAGGGTCACCCACAACAAACCTAGAGTAGAAATTAACATATAGATCAAGATACAATACATAAATATATAAAATATATATATAAATCATAAATGTAAATACAAAATGAGAGGCATGTAAACACCAACCGGGTGGAATCTGTGAAAGAGATAGGGAAATTAAATATATATATATATATATATATATATATATATATATATATATATATATATATATATATATATATATATATAGGGCTGTAACAAAAAAGCATTTAAAAAAAAAAAAAAAAAAAACAATATAAAAATTTTTGGTGCATAGCACACTTATGCTTGCCTGCAAGGATCCAAAGCCAGCAAGATGTAAAAACCCGAAATCCAGTCCTGAGGTGGAAGGCAGTTGTCGCACTAACAGAGAGTGGCAAAAAAGGGCAGGAAAGAGAGGTGCTAAAGAGCCTCTAAGATATCCACCGGCAAAAGAGTGCCCAGTTAATATGAAAAACAAGGCCACAGCTGGAGAAAATGGGAGGTACGGGCGCCAGAGCGGTGTGGAAGGGGAAAGGAATAGTGATCTGAAGGAATAATTATGAACAAATGTGCACAGGCACAGTCAGAGTACGAGTGTATGTGAAATCAGGGGAAATATAATAAAGGTTGGTAGAAAGTGTATACTAAGACAGAGAACAACTTGGAAAACTCTTAGTAGGTTTGTAAAATACCATAATACAAACATGTTGTTTAAAAGGAAAACTATGCTGACAGAAAAAAAACTTTATACAAAGACTGTAATTGGAATAGACTCACCTAAGGCAGCTGTTTATAAGACTTGCAGTCTTTAGCAACTCTTTTTAGATATACCCCCAATTAATACATGCATGAAAAATGTAAAGGAACACTATAGGGTCAAGAATACACAAATGTATTCCTAACCCTATAGTTTTAAAAACACTATTTAGGTGCTTGCCCATGCACGGCATGACTCAATGCATCTCCATGGAGACAGTTTAGTGCCTCCGTGCAGTACTTGGAAACTCTGAACGTCAGTACTGACCCAGGAAGCACATCTTTTGGCTGTCTGAGTGACTGTCACTGTAGGTGTGCCTAGGCACTAATGTAAACACTGTCTTTTCGCTGAAAAGGCAGTGTTTACAGCAAAAAGCCTGCAGAGACATACTATACTCACCAGAACAACTACATTAAGCTCAAGTAGTTCTGGTGACTATAGTGTCCCTTTAATGCCATTCAGTGCCCATTGATCCATGGATTTATTCGTTTTTTTCATATGCTGCATTTTAATAGAACAGTAGGTGAAAAATTTATTATTGTTAAGTCTATAAAAACTAAACCTAGATTTCATTAAAGCAAAATAAGAAATCATGGGTAATAT